AATTATAGATATAAATACCAAAAACTATACCCATTTCAGTGCCAATAACTGGTCATAAAAGCCCACATTTCCGGGCGCCGACTCATCGCTACCGTATAGGAACCCAAACGGACCTAATCTATAATTAGCCGACACAACCACCACATCATGAGCTGCCAGTGCGCTGGCATTGTATTGACTCTGAAATATGGATCCAATAAACAGACCCCCGCCGTGAATCCAAAACATAACTGGCTTTAAGGGTTGAGCTCTCGAAGGACTTTCCGTATGTGGTGTCCATATGTTTAGTACCAAACAGTCCTCACTTAGGGTCAGATTGCCGACCACAACAAAGTCCAAGTCTTTGACAAACTTTTGTACGCATGAATTGCCCGGTGCTCTGCCATCGATCACAGTCTACAAACACAGACATCAATAAAATAAATTAATTATTAAAATTTTTATGATTTATTAAGAGATATACATTTTTAAGTTTTTTGAAAGGTTTAGGTGGACTGAACCGACGTTTTCCAACAGGGGGTTTAGCATATGGTACGCTCAAGTATTGGTTAATTTTGGTGTTTAAGACCATAATAGTCTGTCCCATCACTAAACCCGATGTGGTATTTATTAAAACATTGCTATTATAACAGCAATTCATGTATTTTATGGTTAAAATTAAACATAAAATTATGAAAATCGTGTGAAATAAGGAAACCATATTATAGTAATATTATTTCGCAAATCTTATCAAAACTTTTTTAATCAAATTTTGAGAATCAGTTAGTTATTTCGCATAATATTAGCACTATTATATGTGGTAAAAATATTGCGAAATTGTACTAAACTACCCTGAACTTTAACATTCTCATTTCATAATATTGAGCAATATAATGTTAACTGCATATGTCATCAAAAATTAAATTATTATTAATAAAGGCTGTTTAATTCACTGATAGGCCTACGCTATACGATTAGTAGTACAGTATACTTAATGTGATGCACTTGATGAAATGATCAAGGTTACTAAGATTTATATGTCTACACGTGTGAACAATAGAACAAAAATGACATATTGTGTAATATTAATGATATGCCTAACAGAGTGATTGACATTTTATGAATTGATAAATTAATATGTAATGAATTGTAAATAAATGATAGTATATTAAAATATACTGTAAGTAACAGAAAATGTTTTATTTGTTTGCTATTTAATATAATTATGCTAATGCACTGTAATATTACGGTAAGTCATTAGTATAGTACAACTGTACTTATTGTAGCTATTTAAAGCAATTTTATTGAATTAAATTTATATTTCAATTTTAAGAATTTATAAAAAAATATCGGCACGTGTAGTAAGTTATATAATAAGTTAAAATATACATTTTGAAAATCATGTGGAGTTCTCAGTATCTAAAGATATTAAAATTAATTTTAGCCTAAAATAAATTAATCGGAGACTTACTTTAACAAGTGTTTTAAGAGGCACTGGTTTAGCAAACCTTAGCGCACCGACCGGTGGTTCGGCATAAGGTATACCCAAAAACTGGTCAACACTTGTGTTCAACACATCTATAGTGAGACCTCTCACTACACCTGATGTCGTGTTCATGTATACCCAAAACTGGTCAACACTTGTGTTCAACACATCTATAGTGAGACCTCTCACTACACCTGATGTCGTGTTCACATCAATACTATTATCAATGCATACAATTTGAAATCCACATAATATTATCAAAAATAGCTGGCTAACTTTAAACATTTTTGGAAGTACTAATATTATTTTGTTTTGTAACAACAAGTTGTTATATATTTTTCATTTATTTTTTACAATTTTAATGCAAAACTTTTATACTATTTTATGTAACAACCAAAGTATTAATTAAATAGCTTGGTAACGATTATTGATCAGATAATTAATACAATCTCTTAAATGCATGTCCTGTGCATGGGTGGGTTGGGTTGTTATGTATTGTTATAAGCTCTTTATACCTGTTGTAGGTGCAATCATTTAATTTGTACTTCAACAATTCTATTATATTAATAATTTATATTACTTACATAATTCCAAACACGTGCTAGACTATGCACATTTCTAGTACCGATGCCCATTTTTAATATAGGTCATCTATGTCACTTCCAATAAAATTACAATACATTACAAAAACTTTATACAAAGTATTTCATAGTAACTGAATTTAAAGGACTAGATTTAAATTGGAATCCAACTGCTCAAGTATTCAATAACAATTGTACCTAGAAAATCAACATAACAAAAGCATAAGATACTAAGTTATATAAACCATACCTAAACTAATGTTATTTAATTTAAAAATTAAAATTTATTTAATAACATAAAATATTGTAATTAAAAAAATATTATTCGATAATACAGTAGTAGAAATGTTTATTAAAATATTAATTTTCAATATAAATAATAGTCTTTCCAAAAGTCATCACAAGTGGTGTGAAAGGGATTATTCAATACTCGACTCATATTCTGTGGATTCAAATCGCGGACTGAAATCACATTATTATAGCCCAATAGTTGAGGCCATTGTTCATTGCAGTCAGGTACTCGTTGGACATAAAAATTCAAGATTTCTTTACCTATACTATCAAACGTACAGAGATTATGATAAGGATCAGTGGTATTATAACGGGGGTGAGTTACCCACCAAACGTATACTATACAAGTGGCCACACCTCGTGCACCGGGTTATCGGTGAGTTCGGTGTGGACGGACCGGCAGCCTGTCCTAAGGTGTACAGAGAGTAATACAAGAACTGGAGGCAAGAGTTTTATACCTTTCATCTGGTGCTGAGGGGACAGGAAATCAGTTTTAAGGACTGGTGTTTTGGGAAGAACTACCCGCCCCATGTCAAGTTTTATGAACATAATGTTACCCTGTTGAATGTTACATTTGGAGTAATGGCGGCCGAAGTGTTTGACTTTGAGAAACAATTCATTTAGTGATCATCTCAACATTTTATCTATTATTTTAAGGTATTTTTAATTTAGTTTTTTTAATATTTTTGCTAGCATAACTGGGATTATATTCATAAAATTATGCAAATAAATTAATTACTTAAAACTATAATTACAAAATTAACTTTTTATCAAATACTTTTTAAAGCAAAACGTTTAGACTATTTCAAATAATTTACTAAAATGCATAATAAATCTAGAAATTTGCACAACATTTGAATGAATAAACAATTATTTTTTTCTTCATTTAAAGTTCTTGTTATTGAAAATTTTAGAATAGATAAAAAAATTTATTTGATCATGCATAAAATCTAAATATTATAATTAACTAATTATTTTGTGTATTCAAAACGAAACACTTATCACAGTATGACTTAACAAGCACAAGTATTAATAACTTAAACATTATACAGCATCCTTATTAAGGATTCCTTAATGTTTCGTTTTATACATCTATTATGATATTAATATATATTTTTGAATACAAAAAAACATTTACTAATGTAAAAACTATAATAAATGTTTTGTTAAATAATAGTGTAGTAACTTTATAATTAATTTATACAGTTCATTTTAATGTAAACTTGAAATGATTATCAAACACTGAATATGTTGTCATAACAAGTTTGAGATGAAACATGTGATAAGTATTCAGACCACAAATGTTAATATAATTAGCAATATTAATAATAACATAATAATTTAAAATTAATAATTTTATTAATATTGTCAAACACACTCAAATATTCACATATTAACATACATTTCAACCTGTTCAAAAAACAATGAAAAATCAAACAAAAAGTAAATTATTATTGCTTATCATATTCACCGCTATATTATCAATGTTTTACATATTGAGACAACCATTCAATTCATACAACAATTACCAGGACATCATAATCCCTGACCCCAACCCCTACGATAACATCACTGGATATCCGGACAAAATAGTGCCAAACATTGTTCACTACGTGTTGTTTACAATACATCGCATAGAGTTCGCGCACTTCCTGTCCATAGTGTCGGCGCTTAGGAACCAACGGCCGGACATTATATACATTCACTGCGATTGTCATGAACTGGAGGGACAGTACTTCAAACGAACCCTTAATATTGCTCACAGCATTAACACCAGGATAATTGTGCGCCAAATAGAAAAACCTACAAAAATATTTGGCCGACCCCTGAGCACTGATTACCTGGACTGGCACGCATCCGATGTTACCAGAATACGGGTGCTCATGGAGTTCGGTGGCATATACCTGGACAGGGATGTGTATGTATGCAAATCTCTGGACCCATTCAGACACTTTGAAATGACCCTTAACTGGGATTTTGGTCAATACCTGGGTAGTCAGGTACTGGTCGCTCATAAAAGGGCCAGATTTTTGCGCCTATGGTATGAGACGTACCGGGACTATGATAAGGAGCAATGGTATTATAACGCGGGTATATTACCGACAACTCGGATATTATACAACCGGTCACACCTCGTACACCGGGTTATGGGTGGGTTCGGCGCGGATGGAGAGGCTGTCTGTCCGAAGGTTTTTAAAGAATACGATAGGAACTGGAGAAAAGACTTCTATACCATTCATCTGATTCTGAGGGATAACGAGATCAGTTACTTGGACTGGTGTTTTGGTGATGAAAATAATTACCCGCCTCACATCAAGTTTTATGAACACAATGTCACTCAATTGAATGTGACATTTGCTGAAATGGTGACCGATTTGTTAAACTTTGAGCGACAATTTGTTTAGCAAATTATTTTCTAATTTCGGAAATGTTTTGTAAATTTTATTTTATCATGCAAAAAAGATTACATTTAACGTGTTAATTAAATGTGTTTGTTAAGTTATTAATATAAGTTAGTTATTATTTATGCAAATTATTTGTATGCCTAGTTAGGCTGCTGTTATATCTAAATCTTTGTTACATTCATTAAAATGACAAACAAATGGTGTTTCACCCGAATTAACTCAAACTGTGTTTATAATGAGTAAATAAAATAGTTTCCAATAATTACTGTTTCTATTTTAATGCCTTATCTTTAAAACACATGTTCAAGAAACTGGTTTATATTTATCAAGCTTACAAGTTAGGATTTGCACCTAGTTTGAGTGCACTGATTATTTATGTTACATAAATTATGTAAGCAAATGTTATTTATTTAAACCTTGTAAATAAATGGATAATTAAAGGGTATGCTATTTAAGCATAAACTAATTGTTAAATGTTTATAAGGTAATTGTTTTAAAACATTGTATTTATAAGTATTTATAAACACACTGTTATAAATATCCTAGTATTACTATTATAAGTGGCATGATGAGATTTTCTCTCATTAAACATTAAAGATAATTTTTATTATTAATAAGCACCTGGCCTATGATTTAGACCTATTGTACCAAATTGGGTGCATTAAATGTTTTCAAAATGTTTGCACCCATAACCTTGGTAAAATACCAGGATATTAAAATACCGGTGTTGTAATTCATGTGGTTTTAACCCCACAATTTAATTCTTATATAAACTCAATATCTTATATTATAAAATTTAAAAGTAAATAATTAATTTGAACTAATTCACTATACTTATTTTTAAATTATACTTGTTGTTTTTCTACACTGTTAAATAATGTTAAATAAAATCAACTTCTTTTTCATTGTTTTGAAATTAAGTTTACATTATTTTGGTGATTGTATTGATGTGAACACGACATCAGGTGTAGTGAGAGGTCTCACTATAGATGTGTTGAACACAAGTGTTGACCAGTTTTTGGGTATACCTTATGCCGAACCACCGGTCGGTGCGCTTAGGTTTGCAAAACCATTTGATGTGAACACGACATCAGGTGTAGTGAGAGGTCTCACTATAGATGTGTTGAACACAAGTGTTGACCAGTTTTTGGGTATACCTTATGCCGAACCACCGGTCGGTGCGCTTAGGTTTGCTAAACCCGTACCCTTTAAAGAGCCCATAAAAGTAATCATTAAATAATAACTAATATAGAAAAATATATAAATATTAAGATTTAAATTAAAAATTAAATTATTTAAAGGGTATAATAGATGCCACCAAACCTGGAAACTCATGTGTCCAGAGACTACAAGACGTGGACAGGGACCTTTTGGGTAATTTGACATTGAGTGAGGACTGTTTGGTACTAAACATATGGACACATAATGTGGGAAACAATAACTCATCAAAAGACTCATCACTAAAACCAGTTATGTTTTGGATATATGGCGGGGGTTTGAGTGGGGGTTCAATATTTAGCACATCTGTATATAATGGCAGTGTTTTGGCCACACATGATGTCCTACTCGTGGCCCCGAACTATAGATTAGGTCCGTTTGGTTTCCTATACGGGGATCGGGAGGACGCGCCCGGAAATGTGGGCTTTTATGACCAGTTATTAGCACTCAAATGGGTATAAGTTTATTGCTATTTATAATTAATTTTTATTTTATAATAATCACAAAACTTCTTAATTATAGGTAAGAGATAATATCCATTTGTTTGGTGGGGATAGGGATCAGATCACCATATTTGGTGAGAGCGCCGGTAGTTGGTCCGTATCAGCACATGTATTGTCTCCTCTATCAAAGGGTCTGTTTAGGAGAGCTATTATGCAAAGCGGTGCCCATATGTATAACAAGGACAGGGATGTAATCAACAAAACTGAAGCCTTAACTCAATCCAAACAAATAGCAAAACAACTGAATTGTAGTGAAACTGAGGATTGGTTGCAGTGTTTGCGAAAAGTGGACGCAAAGGAATTCATTCAATTCATCAAATCAATGACACCACCGATTCTGGGAACGGAATTCCTACCGAAATCTGCTGCCCAAGCCTTCAGAGACCATACATTCAATGCGGACATCGATATAATCGCCGGCATTACCCGAGACGAGGGGTCACTACTCACACCACTAGTGCTCCGGCACTCAGACATTGAAACTGTTGACGACTTTAAGGCATACGTCAGGGAATCGGATGACTTGTATCACGGATTAGACGTGGAAAAGGTGTCGGAGTTTTACCTTAAAAATGTGGGCACAAGTAGTCCGGAGGCTATTCGGTGGGCATTTTACCGTTTTTTTGGTGATTTGATGATGAATTGTCCGACGTATCTGTTTGCCAAACAATTTGCAGCAAATGTGCTAGCTAAACAAAAAGTATACTTTTATGAGCTCTCATATCAGAGTCAATATTTTGCGCAACACTTGTATTGTAATGAGTCTGAACTGGGTATTTGTCATGGGGCTGACATTCCCTTTGTATTCGGTATGCCTTTCCTTAGAGGTCATGACTTTACGGATAGAGATATAGATTTCAGTATCGATTTGATGCAAATGTGGACTAATTTTGTTAAATATGGGTACTAAATTTGATTTAAAAAATAATTTATTAAATAATTAATATTTGAAATAAATTCATAGCAAACCGGATGAACAATGGCCTCAACTATTGGGCTATAATAATGTGATTTCAGTCCGCGATTTGAATCCACAGAATATGAGTCGAGTATTGAATAATCCCTTTCACACCACTTGTGATGACTTTTGGAAAGACTATTATTTATATTGAAAATTAATATTTTCATAAATATTCCTACTATTGTATTATCGAATAATATTTTTTTAATTACATTATTTTATGTTATTAAATAAATTGTAATTTTTAAATTAAATAACATTAGTTTATGTATGGTTTATATAACTTAGTATCTTATGCTTTTGTTATGTTGATTTCCTAGGTACAATTGTCATTGAATACTTGAGCAGTTGGATTCCAATTTAAATCTAGTCCTTTAAATTCAGTTACTATGAAATACTTTGTATAAAGTTTATTGTAATGTATTGTAATTTTATTGGAAGTGACATAGATCACCTATATTAAAAATGAGCATCGGTACTAGAAATGTGCATAGTCTAACACGTGTTTCGAATTATGTAAGTAATATAAACTATTAATATAATAGAATTGTTGAAGTACAAATTAAATTATTGCAACTCAACAGGTATAAACAGCTTATAACAATACATAACCCACCCATGCACAGGACATGCATTTAAGAGCTTGTATTAATTATCTGATCAATAATCGTTACCAAGTTATTTAATTAATACTTTGGTTGTTACATAAAAATGGTATAAAAGTTTTGCATTCAAATTGTAAAAAATAAACGAAAAATATATTACAACTTGTTTTTACAAAACAAAATAATATTAATACTTGCAAAAATGTTTAAAGTTAGCCAGCTATTTTTGGTAATATTATGTGGATTTCAAATCTGCCTAATTGTATGCATTGATAATAGTATTGATGTGAACACGACATCAGGTGTAGTGAGAGGTCTCACTATAGATGTGTTGAACACAAGTATTGACCAGTTTTTGGGTATACCTTATGCCGAACCACCGGTCGGTGCGCTTAGGTTTGCTAAACCAGTGCCACTCAAAACACTTGTTAAAGTAAGTCTCCGATTAATTTATTTTACGTTAAAATTAATTTTAATATCTTTAGATACTGAGAACTTTGCATGCTTTTCAAAATGTATATTTTAACTTATTATATAACTTAATACACGTGCCGATATTTTTTATAAATTCTTAAAATTGAAATATAAATTTAATTCAATAAAATTGCTTTAAATAGCTACAATATGTAGTACAATACTAATGACTTACCGTATTATTACAGTACATTAGCATAACTATATTAAATAGCAAACAAATAAAACATTTTCTGTTAATTATACTTACAGTATATTTTAATATACTATCATTTATTTACAATTCATTACATTTTAATTTATCAATTCATAAAATGTCAATCACTCTGTTAGGCATATCATTAATATTACACAATATGTAATTTTTGTCCTATTGTTCACACGTGTAGACATATAAATCTTAGTAACCTTGAGCATTTCATCAAGTGCATCACATTAAGTACTATTGTACATACTGTACTACTAATCGTATAGCGTAGGCCTATCAGTGAATTAAATAGCCTTTATTATATAATAATTTAATTTTTGATAACATATGCAGTTAACATTATATTGCTTAATATTATGAAATGAGAATGTTAAAGTTCAGGGTAGTTTAGTACAATTTCGCAATATTTTTACCACATATAAATAGTGCTAATATTATGCGAAATAATTAACTGATTCTCAAAATTTGATTAAAAAAGTTTTGATAAGATTTGCGAAATAATATTACTATAATATGGCTTCCTTATTTCACACGATTTTCATAATTTTATGTTTAATTTTAACCATAAAATACATGAATTGCTGTTATAATAGCAATGTTTTAATAAATACCACATCGGGTTTAGTGATGGGACAGACTATTATGGTCTTAAACACCAAAATTAACCAATACTTGAGCGTACCATATGCTAAACCCCCTGTTGGAAAACTTCGGTTCAGTCCACCTAAACCTTTCAAAAAACTTAAAAATGTATATCTCTTAATAAATCATAAAAATTTTAATAATTAATTAATTTGATTGATGTCTGTGTTTGTAGACTGTGATCGATGGCAGAGCACCGGGCAATTCATGCGTACAAAAGTTTGTCAAAGAGTTGGACTTTGTTGTGGTCGGCAATCTGACCCTAAGTGAGGACTGTTTGGTACTAAACATATGGACACCACATACGAAAAATCCTTCGAGAGCTCAACCCTTAAAACCAGTCATGTTTTGGATTCACGGCGGGGGTCTGTTTATTGGATCCATATTTCAGAGTCAATACAATGCCAGTGCACTGGCAGCTCATGATGTGGTGGTTGTGTCGGTTAATTATAGATTAGGTCCGTTTGGGTTCCTATACGGTAGCGATGAGTCGGCGCCCGGAAATGTGGGCTTTTATGACCAGTTATTGGCACTGAAATGGGTATAGTTTTTGGTATTTATATCTATAATTNGGCACTGAAATGGGTATAGTTTTTGGTATTTATATCTATAATTAATTTTGAATTTAAAAAAATAATTAATTAATTACAGGTCAGAGAAAACATCCATCAATTTGGTGGTAATAAAGATGAGATCACTATATTTGGTGAGAGCGCCGGTAGTTGGTCGGTATCGGTACACCTACTCTCTCCCCTATCCAAAGGTCTATTCAAGAGGGGTATAATGGAAAGTGGGGCACATTTTTATAATAGGGAAAAGGATCCCGTATCCAAAGACATAGCCTTATCTCAGGCCAAGGCATTCGCACAAACATTGAACTGTAGTTCCGATAAATGGTTGGACTGTTTGAGGGGAATAGACGCCAAGGAATTGATGAATAAATACAGTACTAGTGTTCAAGTGTTCCCACTCTTAGACACGGAATTGCTGCCAATGGGTGCACAGAAAGCTTTTGAACAAAAGTTGTTTAATAAAGGTATGATAATCACTATAATTTAATCTAATCGCTATATTACATAATACTCTTAAATTAATCTTATACTTACTAAAAATATACTACTTTAGTTTTTGTTATTTTATATAACACTCACTATTTAGTTATAATTTCTATTTTAGTGTAACTTATCACATGGTAAATAAATTTTTGTTTAATTTGATATAATTATTTAATTACGTATTTATATACTTATGTTTATAAATTATAAAACTACTAATTTGTAAATATTTAAATGAATTTTTAGTGATAATTATTTGATTATAACACAATAGACTTGGATGTGATGGCAGGTGTGGCTCGCAATGAGGGCTCAATATTAATGAGAAACCTATTGACACCAAACCTAACAGTCGATGATTTCAACAAATTTGTGCCATTGTTAGACTATTTCTACCACAATATAGACATCAAGAAAGTGCAACAATTTTACTTACAATCCATTGACAAAAACAGTTCAGAAGCCATAAAATGGGCTGAATTTGACTTATTCAGTGACCTTACTATGATATGCTCGACATATCTGTTTGCCAAGAATTATGCCCTCCATTCGAGCGCCGGTAGTGTCTATTTCTACGAACAAACCTATCAAAGGAAAGCCTACCTAAATACCACTGAATATGGTGTGACACATTTCTCGGACATTGATTATGTGTTCGGTTTGCCATTACTTGAGCCCAAACCCAGTGATACCCCAATCGATGTTAAGTTTACCAAAGATGTGATGCAAATGTGGACTAATTTTGCTAAATATGGGTATGGATTGCAAAATATTTTATTAATTATAATTTAATTTTCAACCATTTTCAAATATTTTACAGCAATCCTGACTCCCATTGGCCTAAACTGATAGAAAGTAAAGAGAAAAGTAATTTGATAACAAAAGTAAAGGACTTAAATCCATACAATTTATATTATAATTTTGAAAACTTATTCAATGAGACATGTGATGGTCTATGGAGCAGTTATTATAAATAAAATGTTTTTGCAAATAATATTTACTGTACTGGTATCAAATAAATAGTGTTTTATCAAATTAATAAAATACAATTAGTATTCAATCTATGCTGAAAATTGCTGTAAATATTATGTAACTATTATATAAAAAATTATTCATTATTCTTATTACAAGTACAAGGATGCATAGAACTTTCACCTTGATGGCATGCTTAATAGTTAGTGCATTTAAGTATAAATAATGTTAACTACCTTAATAAGTTATTACTAATAATTGATTAGTCTAAAAATATTAACTAAGCTTAATATATTATACTAATAAAATCAATTAAATAATAAAAATTACATGCTATTTATTTATAAGGGTTATATAATATTCACTAATAATGTTTAAAAATGTTTTCAATGATGCCAAAAGTGAAAGATTTAGGCCCATATAAATTATGGTATAATTTTGAAAATTTATTTATTAAGACATGCGATGGTCTTTGGAGTACATATTTTATGCAAACATTTTAAATATTAATTTTAAATTAAAATATTTTTAGTATGATTTATAAGTGTTATATACAGTACTATAATTTGTATTTAAAAATAATATATTCAAAACATAATTAAAGAAATATATTTATTTGTGGATAAAAATTTTTATTAAATATGAAATATATTTTTCATTTATTTTTTACAATTTTAATGCAAAACTTTTATACCATTTTTATGTAACAATCAAAGTATTATTGATCAGATAATTAATACAAGCTCTCAAATGCATGTCCTGTGTATGGTTGGGTTGTTATGTATTGTTATAAGCTGTTTATGCCTGTTGAGTTGTAATCATTTAATTTGTACTTGAACAATTCAATATATTACCTGATTTGCATATGTCGTACTTATGTTTGAAATGGACAGTATCGACAGGTTAAAGTATAATCCTTATCTTTGTCATGAAAAAGCGGTTGCCATCGAAGGAGCCTGATGCACACCACATGCATTTAAGAGCTTGTATTAATTATCTGATCAATAATCGTTACTAAGCTATTTAATTAGTACTTTGGTTGTTATCTGATCAATAATGATAATAATAAGTACGACATATGCAAATCAGGTAATATATTGAATTGTTCAAGTACAAATTAAATGATTACAACTCAACAGGCATAAACAGCTTATAACAATACATAACAACCCAACCATACACAGGACATGCATTTGAGAGCTTGTATTAATTATCTGATCAATAATACTTTGATTGTTACATAAAAATGGTATAAAAGTTTTGCATTAAAATTGTAAAAAATAAATGAAAAATATATAACAACTTGTTTTTACAAAACAAAATAATATTAATACTTGAAAAATGTTTAAAGTTAGCCAGCTATTTTTGGTAATATGTGGATTTCAAATCTGCCTAATTGTATGCATTGATAATAGTATTGATGTGAACACGACATCAGGTGTAGTGAGAGGTCTCACTATAGATGTGTTGAACACAAGTGTTGACCAGTTTTTGGGTATACCTTATGCCGAACCCCCAGTCGGTGCGCTTAGGTTTGCTAAACCAGTGCCACTCAAAACAAGTGTTAAAGTAAGTCTCCGATTAATTTATTTTACGTTAAAATTAATTTTAATATCTTTAGAAACTGAGAACTTTGAAAAAACTTTAAAATGTATTTCTCTTAATAAATGAAACATTTTAATAATTAATTAATTTGATGGATGTCTGTGTTTGTAGACTGTGATCGATAGCAGAGCACCGGGCAATTCATGCGTACAAAAGTTTATCAAAGACTTGGACTTTGTTGTGGTCGACAATCTGACCCTAAGTGAGGACTGTTTGGTACTAAACATATGGACACCATATACGAGAAAGCCATTGACAGGTCAACCACTTAAACCAGTCATGTTTTGGATTTACGGCGGGGGTCTGCTTATTGGATCCATATTTCAGAGTCAATACAACGCCAGCGCACTGGCAGCTCATGATGTGGTGGTTGTGTCGGCTAATTATAGATTAGGTCCGTTTGGGTTCCTATACGGTAGCGATGAGTCGGCGCCCGGAAATGTGGGCTTTTATGACCAGTTATTGGCACTGAAATGGGTATAGTTTTTGGTATTTATATCTATAATTAATTTTGAATTTTAAAAAATATTTAATTAATTACAGGTCAGAGAAAACATCCATCAATTTGGTGGTAATAAAGATGAGATCACTATATTTGGTGAGAGCGCCGGTAGTTGGTCGGTATCGGTACACCTACTCTCTCCCCTATCCAAAGGTCTATTCAAGAGGGGTATAATGGAAAGTGGGGCACATTTCTATAATAGGGAAAAGGATCCCGTATCCAAAGACATGGCCTTATCTCAAGCCAAGGCATTCGCACAAACATTGAACTGTAGTTCCGATAAATGGTTGGACTGTTTGAGGGGAATAGACGCCAAGGAATTGATGGATAAATACAGTACTAGTGTTCAGGTGTACCCACTCTTAGACACGGAATTGCTGCCAATGGGTGCACAGAAAGCTTTTGAACAACATTTGTTTAATAAAGGTATGATAATCACTATAATTTAATCTAATCGCTATATTACATAATACTCTGTCTTAAATTAGTCCAATATTTACTAAAAATATACTACTTTAGTTTATGTTATTTCATATAACACTCACTATTTAGTTATAATTTCTATTTTAGTGTAACTTATCACATGGTAAATCAATTTTTGTTTAATTTGATATAATTATTGAATTAAGTATTGATGTACTTATGTTTAGAAATTATAAAACTACTAATTTGTAAATACTATTTGTAAATATTTAAATGAATTTTTAGTGATAATTATTTGATTATAACAACACAATAGACTTGGATGTGATGGCAGGTGTGGCTCGCAATGAGGGCTCAATATTAATGAAAAACCGATTGACACAAAACCTAACAGTCGATGATTTGAAAGCACTTGTGCCATTATTGGACTATTTCTACCACAATATAGACATCAAGAAAGTGGAAGAATTTTACTTACAATCCATTGACAAAAACAGTTCAGAAGCCATAAAATGGGCTGAATTTGACTTATTCGGTGACATCACTATGACATGTCCGACATATCTGTTTGCCAAGAATTATGCCCTCCATTCGAGCGCCGGTAGTGTCTATTTCTACGAACAAACCTATCAACGGAAAGCCTTCTTAAATACCACTGAATATGGTGTGACACATTTCTCGGACATTGATTATGTGTTCGGTTTGCCATTACTTGAGCCCAAACCCAGTGATACCCCAATCGATGTTCAGTTTACCAAAGATGTGATGCAAATGTGGACTAATTTTGCTAAATATGGGTATGGATTGCAAAATATTTTATTAATTATAATTTAATTTTCAATAATTTTCAAATATTTTACAGCAATCCTGACTCCCATTGGCCTAAACTGATAGAAAGTAATGAGAAAAATAATTTGATAACAAAAGTAAAGGACTTAAATCCATACAATTTATATTATAATTTTGAAAACTTATTTAATGAGACATGTGATGGTGTATGGAGCAGTTATTATAAATAAAATGTTTTTGCAAATAATATTTACTGTACTGGTATAGATTATGTGTTTTATAAAATTAATAAAATACAATTAGTATTCAATCTATTCTGATATAAATTAATTAATTAAAGTATAAATTATGTTAACTACCTTAATAAGTTATTACTAATAACTTATTAGTCTAAAAATATTAACTAAGCTTAATATATTATACTAATAAAATGAATTAAATAATAAAAATTACATTCCATTTATTTATAAGGGTTATATAATATTCACTAATAAAGTTTTCAAATGTTTTCAATGACTATTTATCTTTTCCTTATTTTTAATCAATAGATATAATATATTATATCAAATAAAATAATGCTTTTATACAATCGTAATATTTGTGTTATATTATTTTTAACAATAAACTTTGAATATATTTTTAGCAATAAAAACAGTGTTGTCGTAAATACCAGTTCCGGTCGAGTGAGGGGACAGACTATAACTGCATTGAATAGACTTATTGACCAGTATTTGGGTATACCTTATGCCGAACCACCCGTTGGGAGACTCCGGTTCAGTCCAACCAAACCTCTTAAACGGCCGCTAAATGTGCCGTACATTTAGATTACAATCAATTAAATGATCACTCTTTTGACAATTAATTAATTATTTATTACTAGACTCTGATTGACGGGACAGTAGCCGGGAAGTCATGTATACAGAAGTTTGTGACCGAATTATTCTTCGATGTCGTCGGGAATATCACACAAAGTGAGGACTGTTTGGTACTAAACATATGGACACCACATACGGAAAGTCCTTCGAGAGCTCAGCCCTTAAAGCCAGTGATGTTTTGGATTCACGGCGGGGGTCTGTTTATTGGATCCATATTTCAGAGTCAATACAATGCCAGTGCACTGGCAGCTCATGATGTGGTGGTTGTGTCGGCTAATTATAGATTAGGTCCGTTTGGATTTTTGTATGGGGGTGACAGGTCAGCGCCTGGCAATGTAGCCTTTTATGACCAAATACTTGCGCTCAAATGGGTATGCAGTATATAATAGCAATTTTCATTTGAATTAAAATAATATAAATATTTTTGTCGAAATTACAGGTCAGGGAAAATATACACTTATTTAATGGGGATAGGGATCGGATCACTATATTTGGTGAGAGCGGTGGCAGTTGGTCGGTGTCCGCACACCTATTCTCACCACTATCTCGAGGCTTATTCAAGAGGGCTATTATGGAAAGTGGAGCCGTATTTTACAACAAACTGAGACAACCCTACTCCAAAAGTGAAGTCCTACTTATGGCTAAAAAATTTGCTGCAAGTTTGAATTGTAGTTCAAGTAAATGGTTGGACTGTTTGCGTGGTATTGACGCCCAGGTATTGATGGCTAACTATAACACAAATGTCCAGATATTCCCACTTTTGGATACGGAATTCCTGCCAATATCTGCACAAAAAGCCTTTAATCGACACGTGTTTAACAAAAGTATGTTTTCCATATTCAATTATATTTAATATTTTTATTTTTTAAACAAAACATTAGACTTGGATGTGATGGCAGGTGTGGCCCGTAATGAGGGCTCAATACTCATGCAATACATACTAAAACCAAATCTAACTCTCAATGATT